TTTTTTTTCAATTTGGACCATTTCTCGATTTATGCGTGTCATCCTTGCGCAGGGGCCATGCTAATCTTCTCTGTATCGTTCCAATTTTAACGGATGTCCCGAAGGACGTTTTGGCTTTGTTTTTTGTTTATAAATAAAAAGTTATATTCAGAACCCCTCACACCCCTTCTATTCTGGAGGCCAACAGTCCGGTTGCTTGTCACCGGCAGACAAGATTCAAGATCAAGTTCGAAAGCAAGAGCTTCCCTTTACCCGAGACCCTACATGGGGGATAAATTATCGCGTGCCTTAGCATCTCTTAGTGGACTCTGCAGACTGTGGAGGGTTCAGCCGCCTGATGAGCCACTGAGCCAGTGCAACTCCGGCAAAACAGTCTGTCACAGACCCGTGTTTCTTGTCCTTCTCTCCCTTTCTGCCTACGTCTCACTGGGCAGTTCCCTGTGCCCGGCTCAGCACATTAAAACTGTGGACCAAAATTTCTTCAGCATGCTTCTTTTGAACTCAGTGCGCTATTTAAGCGCTAAGGTCAATGCACAAGATTTCCTTCATTGAAGTGAACTATCGACCATAACGATGATCGCTATAGCTCTCCTCCTCCTCCCCCCGTCCTCCGGCAATTCTCACAGGCGAGGTGGGTGTTTCCTTTTTCTTTTTCTTTTCTCCATTGCTTGTCGACTCTGTTGCTAGTGTTGTCTTTTCAAAAAAAAACTGAGTACGGATCCGGGCCGCCCGGCCGACCGGTGCCTGCCCGGGGGAGGTCCCGGGCGGCCTGGCCGGGTGGGCAGCCTGGTTGGGGGCCGGGCCCCCCCAGCACACCTTGTTGGCGGGGGTTTTCCGACCCCGAATCGGCGAGATTTCGCCTCCCCAGGGCCTACCGGGTCCGACCACGCCGAGAAAAACAGCACGTCGGGCCCGTGAGGCCTGTTTTTTTTTTTTTGAATTTGGGACGGCCCTCTGGCCGTTGATCATCCATGATCGACGGCCAGAGGGCCGTTCGTTTTTGGAGGGAAAACGGAGGCCCCATTTGAACAAGCGACTGGATGGGGCGGCCTGCATTGGCTGTCCAAATGGGGCCTCGATACCTGCTCCAGCTGCCTGCGTTCGTCGTCGAGTTGCCCGTCGTCGAAGTAGCTGCCCCTCGTCGCCATCGCCTGGGAGCTTCACTCGCCCGTCGTCGTCGAGTCGCCCGTCGCCCGTTGCCTGTCGCCAGCGTCGTCGATCACGGTGCTCCTGCCTGCCGACAACCCCTGCCGCCCGTCGACGTGGAGTGCCAGTCTGTTCTTCTTCTTCTTCTTCTTCTTCTTCTTCTTCTTCTTCTTCTTCCCTCCTCCTCCTCCTCCGCTCATTTTTCTGCTTCTTCTTCTCTCCTCCTCCTCCCCCTTTCATCTTCTTCATCTTTATCTTCTTCTTCTTCTTCCTCTTATACCTCTTCTGCTTTTCTTCTTCCAAGACTTCTTCACTCCTCCTCCTCCCCCTCTCATCTTCTTCTTCTTCTTCATCTCGCGTCGTCGTCCTCCCCCTCATCTTCTTCTTCTTCTTCTTCTCTCCTCCTCCTCCTCTTCCGACTATCTTCTTTTTCTTCTTTTTTTTTTACATTCGTTAGCGATAGGTCGCGAGATAAACGACAGGTAAGGAAAAAAAAAAAAAAAACCCTGCTCCGCTCTTCTTCTTCTTCTTCTTCTTCTTCTTCTTCTTCTTCTTCTTCTTCTTCTTCTTCTTCTTCTTCTTCTTCGCCGATCATTCTTCCGCCTCTTTTCTCCTCCTCCTCCCCCTCTCATCAGCATCATCTTCTTCTTCTTCTTCTTCTTCTTCTTCTTCTTCTTCTTCTTCTTCTTCTTCTTCTTCTTGTAGGACCGCCGCCACAGCCCGCCGCCATACCCC